TTATATAAAATAAATTATTTTTTAATATTAGAAAAATTATTTTATAAAGTTTAACTTTAAATTAAATACCTTTAATAAGGATTATAATATTATTTTGCTTTAATAGTAAATAAAGGAATATTAACCTATTTATTTTTTTAAAAATATAAGAAAAATTATATTTATATTTAAATATTATTATAAAAATTATATTAGTTAAATTATTTTTAACCTAGGGATTATTAAGGTTATAATAATTATATTTTAAATAACTATTAAAGTAATAATAAAATAAATCCTTAAAGAATTTAAGGAGTTCCTTTTAATTATAATTAAAGTAATAATATAATAATTATTTAACTATTAACCTTAAAATTATATAATTAACCTTATAAATAGGAAAATTTTACTTTAAGGACCTTTTTATATTATAAATAATTATAAACTAAATATATTTAAACTATAGTTAAATAAAATACTTAAAATTAATTATATTTATAAATTTATTATATTATATAAAGCATACCTTATATTTATAAAAAAGAAAAATTTAAATAATCTATTATACCTTATTATAAATTATTAAAGCTTTAATATTATTATAATATTAATAAAATATCCTATTCCTTTTATTATAAAATTTTAAGCTAAATTTTAAAAGGTTAAATAGTTTATTAAAATTAATTTAAAATCTAGATTCTATTTAATTAAAATTAAAAAGGGTTATAAATAAAAAACAATATTTTATTATAAATATAAACTTTTTAAATATATAATAATATTTATAAGATTTATTAATACCTTTATAATATTTTAATCTATAATAAATTATATCTTTTAGGACTTTATTAATATAAAGCTATTTATATACTTTAATAACCTTTTAATCTATATAAAAATAAAAAAAGAATATAATAAAATAGTTAAAAAAATATTATAACGTTTTAATAAATATAATTTAATAATAATACTTTAAAAATATAAATAATATATATATAAAGTTAAATTCTTTAAATATATTATTAAATAGGAAGTATTAATTATTCTATATAAATTATAATAATTTATTAAATTTATAAACTTTTATTAAAGATTTATTAAAAAGTTCTTATTAATTATAAAACTATTAATAAATATAAATAAAATAAATTAATAATAATAAAAGTAAATAAAAGCTATAAATAAAGCCTTTTTTAAATTTAAATACTATTTTATTATAGCCTTTATATTTATTTATTTTAATCCTTTTAAAATAATTTATATTAAAATTAATACCTTTAACTTTACCTTTAAAACTATATTATTATAAAAGGATAATAATAATAAACTTTACCTTATTACCTTTTACTTTTAAAAGTTAATATTAATAGAAATAAATTATAAAATATATAATAAAAAGCTATTTATAATAATAAATAGATTTAATTAATAACGTTAATATTTAAAAGGCGTTTAATATTAAATTAAAATTTATTTTAACTATTAAAACCTATTATATTTTATAATAGTTAAAGTTTTAAATAAATAATAAATATATTAAATATAATAATTATTTATATATTAGTTTATAATAAATTATTAATCTAATAAATTAAATAAAAAGGTTAATATTATATTAAAATTAACCTAATATTACTTTTAAAAAAGGAAGAATAAAAACTAATTAATTAAATTAGTTTTATAAAATAAATATTTTTTATATTTTAAAAGATTAATATTTAATTTAATAGCATTTATATTATTAACTTTTAAATAATTTTATAGCTTTTTTATATTTAAATAGCTATTAAAGTTTATTAAATTTATTAAAAAAATAATAAAGGATAACTTAAAATATTATTTATAAAAAAATAAACCTTTTAAAAATATAAAACTTATAAATAATTTATTATATAAAAAGGAATATTTATAAATATTTATAACTATATAATAAAAAGTAATAAAAATAAAGTATAATATATAAATAGTTAAATATATAGGAATAAATAAAATATTAAAACTTATTATAAGGAACTTTTAATAACTTAATATTAAAGTAACTATAAGGAACTTTATATAAGGCTATTATATTTATTAATAAAATAAAGCCCTATAATATACCCCCTATAAATTACTTTAACCTATAAAGTTATATTATATTTTATAGCAATTAATTATAATAAACTTTATTATTAACCTATTACTATTTAATAACTATAACTTTATTTAAATAATAATAAATCCCTTTATAAAGATAAAATATTTTATACCTTTAAAAATTAAAGAAAAGAAAACTAAAAATTTTATTAAAATCTTTATTAAGCATTATTAAAAATTATATAATATACCTTTTAATATAATTTTTAATAAAAACTTTAAATTTATAAACTATTTATAAAAGGATTTTTTAAAGCTTATTAATATTAAACTTTATATAAATATAACCTTTTACCTTTAAATTAATAAATAAATAAAATAATTTAACTAAATCTTTAAAATTTATTTATAAATATTTATTAATTATTAAGTTTATATATAATAATATTATATTAACTTTAATATATATATCCCCTTTTTATATAAATTATAATTATTATTTAATTATATATAACCTTTTTATAATATAACCCTATAACTTATTTAATAAATTATATATCTATTAAATAATATAAATATATAAAAAAGTTAAGGAATAATTAAAAAAAGTTTAATAATAAATAAAAAAATAAATAAATAAAAAATAAAGGGTTCCGCTTTAATATATTAAAAATTAATTAATAATATTAAACGTAAAGAATATTAAAATAAAAAGACCTATTAAAAAGTTAAATAAAAAGATATTTAATCTTTTTAAAATTTATAAAGTAATTTTACCTATTATTATTAAATTTATATTATTTAAAGGGTAGAAAATCTATAATTTATTTTACATTTTACTTATTAAACTTTATTATATTAATAATTAAATATTATTTAACTTTAACTAAGCTTTATAAAAAACGCTTTTAATAAAGTTTAAAAATTATTAAATAAAAAAAATTAAGAACTTTTTAAAAACTTAAAAGAATATAAAATATTTAATTAAATAGAAAGGTTAACTAATTAAAAGGTATTAAATTTAAAAACCCTATAAATATATAAATAATATTAATATAAAGGCTTTTATTAAATAATTCTATTAATAAAATCCTAACAAATTAATAAACCCTTAAACTATTAAAACCTTAAATTTATAAACCCTTTAAGGAATTAATTACGCTTAAAGTTAAACATTAAAAGAAAAAAAATAATATTATATAAATAATCCTATAAAACTTAAAGATTTAAAAATAATTAATATTATTCCTAATAAAAAATAAAGCTATAAGCAATTAAATAAAAATAATTTATTAATTGTAAAAAGATTAATAATTAAGGTATAAATGCCTAATAAAAGGAAGGGAGTTATAGATTATATAAAGCCTAAATAAATATAAATAATAAAGGAATTTCCCACTCCAAGATAGGAGAAAAAAAAGATTAAGGCCTTAAAGACCCCTAATAGATTATTAATAAATATAACTAAGTTCCAAGCCCTTTATACGAGCCCTTGTCACAATACCTTGTATAGCCCTTCTGACATACTCAAATCAAACGCTATTGCAACAGGTGTTTATACTTCCTTTGTATATTAGTACTCAAACCTGACCTGTTATTCTACCTCGCTCCCTTCAAGTCTAGAGTGTAGGTATCGTGTTGTAGATACGGTGGCCAACTACAAAAGGCCAGTGTTCGTTCAACTTGCCTGATGATTCTTCATCTATACTAAAAATATATGCGTGTACCTACGGACTGATCCAAAAAGGTGGATAGCGGTGTTATGTAAATATAAGTAGATAAAATGAATGTATAGCACAATGCCGACAACAGAAAGTATCAATGTACTACCCCTTGGTTGCAGTTCTCACAGGTATGTAAGGAGAAGAAGACAATTTTGCAGTGCAGTGGTTGTACGCCATAGCTAAAAAGAACGTTTGACAATCCGGTGATTCCAGGCGAGGAGATACAAATGGAAGCATCGACACTATACTTTGAGCTTCATACTCTGCCTTGCGCAATGCTCTAGGAGGTCTCTAATACATCAGGCTCTAATTTCTAGCACAGAATGACGTTATGGGAACCTTATGTATTACCTAGTAGCTGATGAAGATGCGGGCCACAGTAATAGGAATGAGTATATTTGGACTCATTAGACGAGCTTGAGTAGTTGATAAGTGACGGTAGAATTAGGGGATGTTCCACGTAAAGAAGTGATTAAAGAACGCGTCTAAAGGCAACTTGATGTGTTACCCACAGTGATGGACCGCTCTACACATCGCCACTGTATTAAACTTGACATGATCGTTATATAATTGATCTTTTTCATCTTTTTAAATTGAAGGTTGAAGGCAACAGTAGTTAGCTATCTAATTTGGACAATCAAGGACCTTGATAAGAGAGAATTTTAACATCTGTAACGTACAAATGAGACTCATCGCTTCATCTTGCCATCTCAGACCCGTGCAGTGCTTCTGCCTAGAAGGACCACAGGGGGTTACTGCCCTCGAGGACGAGAATGATTATTGTTAAACATGATCATTAATCAGATATTTTCCCATAGCAAGGGCTGATATTAACAAGGTTAAAAATCGATCTCGTTTGCAATAAGACGAAAGGATAAAAGATTATGCTAGCATGACGCCTAAATTTTATACCAGATTGGTTCTTGTTCATTAAACCAACAGCATTAAATGAAGGACGTGACTACTATCACAATCCAGATGACTTCGGGGCTAGCTGGCATGCTCAGTTGCTTAAAGACCTAACTATCAAGGCAACACGTTGTCTCTCATTGTACGTTGGTTCTAAGGAGAATCTAGGAGCCGAAGGTAGTTCATGTTAACGTCCCATACTACGAGTTTAGAGAGCAGGCATGGTAAAGGCATATAGACTGAGAAAACCGTAGAGGGGTTTTCTAAGTACTTGGACCATCTGGAAACCCTTGTGTGCTTCTAGAAGACGAATTAGTTCACTTTCTGCATTGTTTTGATAGGCCGACCTACTGTAAAGGCTCGAGGTCCTAAGGAACTCACACCACTCCACGATATTTACAGTTAATTTCTGTACACCACAGGTTTCCATGTGTAAACAATGCCAACATATGCGGGGCAACACAACGCCGAGGACTGTTATGGGCAACGCCGACATTTTGAAGCCCTAATACTAGGTCAAGCTTTCTTCATTTTGATGTTTTCTACCTTTCAACCCTAGCACACACAATTGCCCCTCCCTTCCATTCCTTCACCACTCTTCGCAGGCTTTGTTTTGAACCCTCTCCTTTCCTGCCTTGCACCTTCCCACATATTATTACTTACTCAATTGCTACTATGGAGGGCAACAAAGAAGGCAAGACAAAATATGTTTTTGACGAGTCCATGCTGGACCCACGTCTAAGAACAGATTCAGCAAAGATGCTCGAAAGTGAGAGTAACACCAACACTCAGGCCGCATCTTCAGGACCTGAATCAAGCCCTACTGGGCTGACTGGAACAACACCAGCCCTAGCTCCATTCCCAGCTTATGTGCCTGAAGGCCAAGGTGAGGCCTGGTGGAATAACTTCGAAGATGACATTATGGACCAAGATACAGTCTTTCCCGAGTCTCCATATAAGTCGCTGGATTATATCATCGATTCTGGGGATTTGCGAGACGATGAGCGCACTTGGCTTATGGGGATGCAGGCAGGCATTGGACTCGGCATCCATTGTGCAAGAGAAGCCGTCCTTAATGAGATGCAGAACGAGAACACCGTGTTCAAACGCCAAATGCAAAGACACCCATCCGACCCTGACCCCTTCCAGCTGCGAATGGAGCTTGGCCGTGAATGCGAAAAAGGTTTCGACATACGCGTTGCCTATCGAGCTGGAAACCGCTACATCAGAAGCTTGAACCAAGTTGCTGATACGGTTGTTTACCATGGCCTCACCGACTGTCTTCCAGGAACTGGAAACCATTTCGTAGGAACTTCCATGCTCTTCTCCGATGAGGATGTGGCTCGTTGCCGCTCGAATTATCGGATCATGAGTGAAGCTGCTAGAATTGCTGCGAGTCAGCCGCAACCTTCCCTTGGTGTGGATGGCAATTCTAGCACCGACCAACCAGCTCCGCTCACAGCATCATTCTTGGGAGATGGCAAGAGGATTGGCAACGTCGACATGACTCGGCTTACTGGAACCGCTGCTCTCATTGCGAATGCTTTCACCTATAACCCTGTACCCCCAAGCGGGCAACACATGGCTAGAGGAAGACCCAATCCAGACGTGGCTTCACTCAGTCGCGAGCTCCCCCCATGGGAGAACAAAGATGAAGACGTTGAGGTAAAGTCCATACGAAGTTCTTATATGAATAAAGGGACCGATATTGTCTAACACTTTTAAAGACCGAACCCGAGCCTATCCAAGGAGTAGAGACGCCTACTCCAAAGCCGAAGGCAGAGCTAGGGCGTGAGAAAGCCCCAAGAAAAGCCACTAGAGCAGTGACTCGATCAATGACTGGCCGACGGGCCAAACGAACTTCTCGCGATGTCAATTCTCCGGAGAACACGGCAGATAGTGCGGGAGTCTATCAGCCTCGTGCCCCACCGACGAAAACAGCGAGTGGCCGTGGCGTGGTGAAGAGAATCCGCCTCGTAAATAAGAAGAAACAAGGAGAGAAGAAATGAGGAGGGAGGGCAGTCTACAGTACTCATGAGATTTGGTAGCTACACTGGGATAAGGAAGGAATACTGTCACGCAGATGGAGTCCTGTGTCCTGAAATGTCTAGCTGTCTCTTTATTAGGGTGCCGATGTAGCACTCGACTGCTGTACTGCTTCCTCTGACTTTGCACATGTTACTGTGCTATGGTATCTCGAGATGAGCTATGGAAGATGATTGCTGACGTTCAGCTACGTCTGCTCATAGCCGACTATGTTAGTGATGGATCTCGAGAATTCTATAGATAAGAGACATTGTTGAGATGCCCGATCAATCAAACAGCATGGAATTGTGACTGTTGTAGGTCTAGAGAAGTTGGATTCAAGCGCAGACATTGTCTTGTTGCGCATTCTGACGTTGATGGTAGTTCTAGAGACACGTGATGATAAGATGACACAACACAGTTCGATTTGTACAGTGTATTAACATCCACACACTATGTTGTCATCTTGACTTGGCGACTGGGAAAATTGGCTGTGTAGGATGCAAGCGCCAAGGTGTCATGGGCCGGCTATCTCAGCTACCTAGATCGTGTGCACACATATCTACTCAATTTCAAGAAATCATATGAGAGCAAATCATCTTGAATACCTACGTAGTTTACAGTCCGATCGGCTTAGTCGAAGGTAGGTTGAGTTTGACTTGACTGACAATCGAGCCGTCCTGCCATCCCCTCTCTTCATCATCTCGGTCCGAGATTTCCATTGACGCAAGCTCGCGGCTCTGTTCATATTCAAATACTTACTCTAGAAGCCGCTTACAGATATCGTAAACTACAAATCATCTCCGAGTAGTGTACTACCTAGACTAGGTGAGCATCCTTCGAATCTTGGTGTACTTCGGAGCCCCATCCATCTTCCAATCTCAGCCCCTCACCTGTTACTGTATTCTTCACCTTACCCTCTGCCATACTGTACGAGCGAGTCTGTTACCGGTAGTTTCGCAACGAATGCCTTTGCCCACTTACATTGTTTAGCTAGCATTCCGATACGGAGAGCTGTTGATTGTAAAGCAGTGCGAAGACCCGCCCAGCCAAGGCCGCAGATTTGCACTACCTTTGTGCATGGTATCATCTACGCTTGAGCGAGGTTGCATGCCGGTCCTAAGCACCCATCCAGGACATCTTTCCCGGTAAAGGCCGCATGTTGTACAGATTACAGTACATCTGTGCCCTGACTGCTAGGACCATTGCCAGGTTGCGAAAATTCTGTCTCACTACCGACCTCTCTACAACGTGCCCAGAGACTCTACAATACTGTACGGCGCGGTAGTGTCGTTTGTCTCGCCGAAGTTCGACTGGCGAAGACGAACCCTTATTGGCATTACGGACACTACTAAGGTGAGGTGCCGTCTTGATCCAAACCTAGTTGTACTTGTGTGACTCGGTGTCACTCGCGTCCCCGTCAAAGTACGTCTCTCCCCAAGTGTGCCTCACCTCTCGTTTGCCTCCATGACCGGCCTACTGTGCACATGTGCTGTATTTTGCACAAAGCGGACGATCCCCATCCATTCTCCATCCCTTGCCAAGCCAAGCCTCAAGGGTCTATCCGCCGAATTTGCATGCCTAGTGGGCCTGCACTGCGCTACGGTAGTGTGATGCAGAATGCAAATTTGGGCTTGCCGTCTTGGCACCCCAGCCGAGATCGTTTCCGTAAATCACACTTGCATGTGGTATTCAACTAAGCCATCGACAGAGTGCCCCAGCAGCCCGAGTATCGAACCATTTGCTGAGCTCATGCTGTGAGTGCCACTTCAAGTTTCTTCCTCGGGCGGTTGTTGTCACGCGCCTCTACTTACCTACGTACACTGCCGTATTGTACGCAAGAGGGTTCTACTCAGGGATTGATGCAAGAGTCGTAAAGCCCTTGTACCGATTTCATTTACATTGCGCTAGCACCGATCTTACCAGATGTCACACTACCTGGCTTCCTATTTGTCAACTCTCCATCCAGTCTGATCCAGTCTCGTGAATGAACCAAAGCACCGACTGATGTCACGCCTGCTCTCATCCCAGCACCAGATGTGGTTTTCAAGCCCTCCCCGTCCCGCATGAAGCTAACAAGGAACCCCAGCGAAATGGTACCACCAGAGCCGGTAAATGGCGCTCCTATTCCCGCCACCGCCAGTCGTAGTTCTTCCCCGCACCCCACATGTGAAGCTGCTCAGGGTTGTCAGACTATAACAGGCCAGCGAGCTCCTGCTCATTGTCCTCCCCAAGCTTACGACACCAATGCCGTTCTGACGCCACAAGCCACCTTATCTGGGGGTCATTCAGCTACAACACAAAAGATGCTGTTTTCCGACCTCTATAAATCGACCAAATTACCTCTTTCGCGGTTGCGAACACACTCACAGCAGCCAGTACCCGTATCTCGAGACTACGACCCAGATCTCGTGAGCAAGGACAAGGCAAAGCAGAAAGAAGCTGTCCGGCGCTTTCTAGCCGAAAGGATACGCAATGATTGGAGATTTCAGTGGCCGCCTGTATCTGGAGCAGGGGACTCGACGAAGCTGACCTCAGAAGATTCCACTCATGACGCGGATTCCTTACCGGTCCAGCCTGTTGTTAGCGAGATAAAGGGCACAGAGGAATCTGCCCTCGGCGCTGATGAAGATGGCTATCACTGCGACGATGACGATGACGATGAAGATGTCGCTTCCATATACAGCACCGTTTCTGAAGACCATGTTCATTTCTGCCCCCGAACTGAATGGCTATCCGATCTATCTGATGATGAACACAATGATTCCCCCTTTCCTTTAGCGTATCGCTTTGAAACACCAGATGCTGTAGGCTCAACTGTCAAGGCGACTGAGTTGGCTCGTAGTGCGAAACGGAGGAGAGATGCGCGTGCTGAGATGGAATGGAATTCCGGACTTGCTTGTTTTGCTGCTCGAAGGGATGCTTGGACTGGTGCCAAGGTAGTGCGTGTCCGTCCGAAGCCTGTTGAAACCACACCCATCTCGCCTACAGCTAAAAGACTATCATTCTGGCGGCTTTCGAGCTCTTCATCGCCATCATCGCCTATTGATTCGCCTGCTGAATCAACGGTTAGCACGGCACCGCCGCTTAGTCCCAGCGGAACGCGCACGTCAGGGGATACCACTGCTGTATCTTCTGTAGATACCGACTCCAAAGAGCTCCCAGTCAAAGAAGATTCTTCTGAATATCCAGTACAAACCCTCCTACCAACTCCTCCGCCGCTACTTCCAGCCGCGAATCCAATGCGAGCTTCTATTAATTCCACTAATTACGGCGCAATTTACGATAAGATCATCATCAATGCGTTAACACCTGCATGTCCTATCAATCTGGCCGACATGCTGCGCGTCTGCGTAGTGGGCTGGAAGCGGGATGGCGAATGGCCCCCACGAGCAGTTGAAGTCCCGCCCGTCGTAGCTCTTCGCAAAAAGAAGAGGAAAGACAGCAATACCGAGAAGAGCTCGAATGTCGGGCGACGATTAAGCTTCAATTTCCTTGGCCGAAGACTGAGTGCCGGCAGCGACCCGAATGGCACCCCGGGCAGCCCGACTAAACACGACGATGCAGGCACCACAAGGGGCATGAGGAGGAGCTTGCAAAGAGTCTTGGGACTAGGGTACGATAACTAATGTTCATACGAGAGTAACTTCGCGATGAGATTAGCTCGATTTGTTCGCATGTACAAGAGATAAAACTTCATGAGCTGGCGGCATATAGCAACGAATGGGGTCACATGTTGGAAGGCGTACGAAGATCTTGGATGGGATCATTCAGTTTCTAGGCTATGTTTACGGGCATGGGTTCTCATTTATTCCTTCATTTTGTTCCACGCATTTCATACTCTCTGGCTTCGGCATCAGGGCATACATATACCCAGCATGGCGGCGTTTCGGAAATTCCCCTTCTGCTGAGTTTAGAAATGGTCATGATTTATCATTTCTGTTGATACGAGATATGAGATATTTTTTTATCATTCATTGAGACCCTTTTAGCCCATTCGTGATGCAACTTATCTATCAGTGTATAATAGGTTATGCTATACTTTACGCGACACCGCACATCGAGGACACCCCATTATGCGAAAGCAATCAACCGCCACCACCACCGGGGAATAGTGAGGAATCATTTCCAGCCTAGTTTGGCTGCGCGTGCATTAAATGGTACTATATCTTCGGCCGATCGGCATGTTCGTTCACAGACAAGGTATGTATGTGTCCAGGTCAGGGTTGCTTACGACTGAATCGTAACCTATGCGGGGCGTCGTTAGTCAGCCGGCCTGTCTGGTTTCATCGATACCACGCAACCTCGACTCAATCGATCCCCGAACTGGATATCTCCGGGGAAGTAGATAATGTGATGGGTTTGCTTCGGTTCATCCCTCGCTGAAAACCTTGACATACCTATTGTATGTAAAGCAGGCTTGACTACTGTATGGCTTTGCTAATGATAGGTACTTGCAAATGCCGGGTTTGCGCTAGGTTTGCGCTAGATCGTGTTGCTTCGCGCAGTAGTCTGCTTTAAGTAGTACGCATGTATACATGCATCGTGGTTGGTGACATTTGAGGGTGCGCCGCATGTGGAATCATCGCGTCTACGTCGAGATGACATGTTTCCAAAGCGAGGGTTCCTTTTACGTCAGTCTGCAGGGACAGATGAAGTATATAATAAGAGCTCGTTGAGGCTGTCTTGGCTGTGTAGGTATATCTTGTCGAACGCATTCCTTGGCACTCTTGTGGATATCATTTTGTCTACCTAGTTATTCATTCTATATCTTGTCTAAGTATCTCCAACATTACCATCCCTTTGATCGAAAGTCACTACTTTGAGTTCATCCTATTTGTTATTTTACTACTATGATGCCTGAATCAATGCGCGCCATCGTTATATCGAAATTCGGCGGCCCGGAGGTATTAATACATCAAGATGTCCCGAAACCCGTGCCGGGCGCCGACGAGGTTCTAATTCGCGTCCAAGCTTTCGGTGTGAACCATGCAGAGATGCGTAAGTGCTATGAGTCCAAACTTTTCAAACTCCCTTCAAGTATCATTCGAGGCGAAACTCCTCAAACGAGGCTGCCCCTAGCGAGAGCCCCTCAACACTAACCCCTTTTTAAGTGTCGCTAACATCCATTGGTTATCATTCAGATATGCGCAAAGGCGAGTGGGATGAATGGAACCCAGTAACAGGCCTAGAATGCGTCGGCACAATAGAATCATATCCGCGCCCCTCATCACCAGCCCAAGCCGAGCGCTTCCCCATCGGCAGCAAAGTCGCCGCCGTAATGGGCGGCCTCGGCCGGAATAGACCAGGCGGATACGGCGAATACGTGACCGTGGCCTCGAGCAACGCCATCCCGTTAGACACCACTTTATCCTGGGAACAACTCGCCGCGCTGCCGGAGGTGTATTGCACGGCGTGGTCGTGTCTGTTCACCATCTTGGATGTGAAAAAGGGGGAGACACTCCTCATCCGCGGCGCGACGAGTACACTGGGGCAGGCGGCGCTGCATCTAGCTGTTGACGCTGGCGCCATCGTGACTGCTACTACGAGGCGCGAGGAACGCTTCGCGTGGCTGAGAGATATAGGGGCTGCAGAGGCGGTGCGTGAGGAGAGTGGCCTATTCAAAGTAGAGGGGGGGAATAGCAGGAAATTCGACAAGACGCTCAATCTCATCGGGAACAAAGTCCTCCTAGAATCCATCGCGCTCACGCGGGCTGGTGGCAGGATGTTGCAGGCGGGATGGCTGGGTGGTCTGGAGCCGGTGAGGCAGTTCAATCCGATGGTGCAGATGGAGTCCGGGGTGCATTTCAGCTTGTTCCATAGCAAGGTGTTGGGTTCGCCGGAGTTTCCGCTGTCGGGGATCCCGCTGCAGGAGATCGTGCGGAAGATTGAGCAGGGACGGTGGGATGCGAAGCCTGCGAGGGTCTTTGAGTATAAGGATATTGTCGATGCACATCGTGCGCTGGACTCTCACGATGTAGGGGGCAAGATTGTGATAAAGCATTGAGGGAACGGGGGCAGCTTAGATATCGATTTGTTTGACGCAGTTGGTTTATCATTGGAGATTGTGACTTGCATTGAAGAACTCCTAGCCAAAGAGCCATATCATAATACTAACAGTCCTTCCACTTCATGAGTATAAACATTCTCCATAGGGTAATGTGCAGTACCCTCAAACCCAACCCAACCAAAATCGCACAATACCAATTTCAACGCTCCCATCAAGTTCGCCATAGACAACGCCGTCATTTATATCCGCCTGATGTAATCCAAACCAATGTAGGGGTATTATAGTTGTAAATTAGATACCAAAGCTGAAGTCCATTGAGAAGTTATTGAAGTCGCCACGTGACTGTAGGTCAATGCTTCCACCCCTCGACTCACCCCTGAGTAAGTTCCCCTCTACATCATAGTTTACAACCGGATCTGGTTGCAACAGGTAATTCCATTGTGCATTTAGCCCGAATTGTGATGAGTGAAAATCGTGCTGAAGATCATTGCCCATCCAAGAAGGAGCAGGGTTGATCAGAGCCTGCTGGGTGATCATATCATGTTGGGTTGCAGGGTGCACACAGATCATGTGCTCATCGAGATCGATTTGCCTGAGGAATCCAAGTTCACCAGCTCTCAAGCAGCCTTGAACTTGACAGGGGTATTGAGGCAAGGATTGAGGACATGTTGAGCTTTGATCATCGTGATGGGTAGTGGCGTTAAATTCTTCAGGGATCTTGCCGGCGGGAATTCTATGAAATGTCCTAAGGTGTTGGGACAAATGGTCTGCGCGAGCAAATAATTTGGGAGCTTCATCTCGTGCACAGAGTGGACAGGGGAATCTGTTAACCTTGTTCTTAGATGCGATATGTCGCTCTAAGCCATCCAGACGTGAGAAGGCATCGCCGCAGGTACAGCCATATGGACGATGGCACTCCCTTTTGCCATGTTGCCGAAGTGTAGCGTTGTTCGAGAAGGGTGTAAGACAGGCAATGCAGACACAGACATCCTGGTCACTAGAAACACAGAGCCTCGTTAGCCAAGGGAAAACAGAGAGAAATAGCTTACTAAGGCCCTTGTGTAGTAGAGTCCTGAGGGAGAACGGCCTGACGGGCATGAGGGCCGATGGTTGGTGGGGGCCTAAAGGCATCCAGTGGCTCGTGACCAGGAGTGTCTGTATTACTAGCATTGCTGTCTGTCTGCGACGAAACGCTCGGCTGAAACTGCTGGGCCATGATGGCGGGATCAGGAAATGCAACTGGGAATGCTCATTGACTGAGTGAGCGTGAATTGAGAACATAAAACCTCCGGGGATGAGGGTTGCTTTTAAGTTAATGTGTCCTGGCGTGAGAACCAGAATCTCATATGGTGACTTATTCAACGAATTTAAACAGCAAGATTCTATCTTGGGTCCTGAGCTCACCATAATAGTACCAAGGCCAGTTGAAATACCACCATAAGTGAGCGCTAATGGTAATGCTCGGTAAACATGAACAAGGCAATCATCATGGAATACCTAGGCCGCCTGTGATGGATCAACTGGATCAACTGGATCAGATTGGATTGAAGTTATAGAAGTGAAGTCTCTGGGTCTGCCAAGGACCACTGTAGGAAACTGTATACCTATAGCTACGTATAGTGGGTTATACCTGTTGGGCTAAGTGTTACAATCTGCCCCTAAAAGAAAACCTAATGCTACATCCCCGTGGTTCTATAGAGAATACACATTTTTCCGGGCTAATTATCCTACGAATAAATCTGGTCCCTTATATTATTCCCGGGATTTTAACAATTTTAAAATAAAATCTATTACTTTTATAACCTTATAAACTTTTTAATAAAGTATAAATCTAATTTTAATTATTTATATATAAGCTATTTATTAAATTTATAATTTAATCCTTAATATTTAATTAAGTATTATATTTATTTATCTTTACTTATAATTTTAACTTTAAAAATCTTTTTTTATATATAATTTACTATATATATAAAATTAATTAAAGGAAGAGATTAATTATATAGGTTAAATAAAAGCTTTAATTTAAAGTAATTAATTAAAATAATATTATAAATTTATATATTATAATTTTTAAAGTTAAATTTATAGGTTAAAGTATTAATTTATTTTATTACTTTAAAAGGATTAATATATTTTTAAGCTATTTTATTTTTTATATTAATTATAATTTTATAACCTTTATAAAAATATAATATAACTTTATTTTTAATATTAAAGAATTTAAGCTATTTATAAATATTATAATAATATTTTATAATTATAAAGGTTAAAGTTATAATATTTATAGCTTAAATTTTAATAATAGGTAAAAAAGTAAATTTGGTTTTTTTTATTAAATGTAATAAATGTATTAAATATATATTGTACCGGAATATTATATATATTATAAAGTGATATTATAAAGATATATAAGACCTATATTAATAAAGTTATATAACCTATAACAGCTATTAGCTTATATATATTTTTATATATACTTATATTTTAATTTTATCTTTCCTTCCTTTTTTCCTTAGCTTAAAATCTTTATTTATAATATTAATATAATTATATTTTAAACCTTAATTATAATATTATTTTAAGCTTTTCCTTTTTATTAATAAGCGTTATATAAATATATTACCTATATTTAATTATTATTATTTACGATTTATAAATTAAACCCTTCCTCCTTATTATTATATCCTATATTTAACGATAAATAAGTATAACTTTATAATAGACCTAATTAATAAAATTAAACCCTATACCTTTTAAAATTAAAAAGACCCTAATTAAAATAAATAACTTAAAATAATTTTAACAATTATTATTATATATTATATTTAACGTTCTTATAATTAATAAATAATTAATTTAAAACCCTATCCCTTTTATCGAAAAAAAAAAGACTAATATTAAATTTAAAAATAGCTTTTAAAACTTTTTAAACTTTAAACTAAAAGATATAATACTTCTATTATTAAACCTTAATTTAAATAAAGGATTAATAAAATTACTTTAATTAATAAATAAGATAAGCGCTATTAATTAAGCTATTTTAATTTAGTAGCTATAAAAATAAATTATTATTTTTTAAGCTTAAATGGAAAAAGGTAGTTTAACCCTGGTATTATAAAAAAGTATAATTAAAAATACCTTTAGTAAAATTAACTTTAAGTTAATTAATATAGTTATATAGGCTATTTTTAAAATAGTTAGCTTAATGGGTAACTTTATAAGCTTAAACTTAAAATATATAAAGAAGGTTAAAATTTAAAAAGCTAATTTAAGTACCTTTTTTAAAAATAAAGACTTATTTAATAATTAATTAAAAAAGTTAACTAATAAATTTAAAAAAAATATAATAATATATTATATTAAAAAGAGTTAAATATATTATATTATATCCCTTTTAAAGGAAAATATTAAAAAAGCGGTTAAAATTTACTTTTATTTTATTATTTAACCGTATAATAATTTAGCTAAAATGGTATAAATATTAAAAACCGCTTATTATAACCTAAATTAAGCTACTTAGGTATAAAATGCTTTAAATAAGTTTTACTTTAAGCTAGGCTTTAATATTTACTAATTTATTTTTTAATTTAATAACCTAATATTGAAATTAAAGTTATCCAAATTTAAATAGTTTTAATTCTTATAGAAATATATTAACCTTAACCTTAAAATTAAGGTATTTAAAGTTAATATTAACCTATTAATGCTATATAAACGCTTTTATAATAAGGTAATAAAGGTAATATATAATTATAATTATTATTATAATTATTAAAAAAAGAAATAAGTTGTTAATTTTATTAATTATAATTCTAATAATAAAAAAAATATAAATAAAGGAAATATTATAATAAAGCTTAAAGGGATAAAGCTTTTAAAAGAAAAGAAAAAGACCTATTAGAAAAATAATACTTACTTTAGTTATAATAAAATAAAATATTATATTATAAATTACTTTAAAAAAAGTAAAAATATAGCTTAAATATAAAATAAAAAAAGTAAAAAAGAGTTTATTAATTCCTTTTTTATTGAATTTAAATTAAAAAATTAATTAAATTATTAAAAGATTTTTTAATAATTTATAAACTATTTTTAATTTATATAAAAAGTAATTAAAATATTATTTAATTTATATACTTTATTTAAATATAAATAAATAATTTTAAAATAAAAGCTATTACGCTATATAATATTAAAGCTTAAATATATTTAATAATTAATTATAAATTAACTTACTATATTAACTATTAATTAAAAGCTAGGTTAATTACTTTAAAACAATTATAATAATTAAATAATTATTAAGAATAATTTATTAATATAATTAATTAATACTTTATTGCTACTTTAAAAATAAACGGATAAAGGTTTAAAGATTAAACCTTTTAAATTATTAATATTAAATATAATGTTATAATTAATTTAAAGTAGTTAGTTAAAAATAAGGTTACTTTAAATTATACTTATTAAATATTATATTAATTAAAAAATTTACTTCCTTTTACCCTATTTTTACCTATAATTAAAATTATATAAAAGTCCTTTAATAATTAATAAGTTAACCTTATTATTTAATAGGATATTAACCGGAAGGATACCGCTTTAAAAAAGAAATATATTATATTAAAGCAACTAGTTATATACTTTTAAAAAAATATTTAACTTAAAAGCTTAAAGATAAAGTAATTTTAAAATAAAAGGATTATTTAACAATTTATTAAAAAGATTAAATTAAACCTTAAATAGAAATAATAGAAAAAAAGGGTATTTTTAAAAGAATTAATATTTATTAAGTTTGTTAAAGCGGCTTTAAAGGTAGCTATAATAATATTAAAAAATTTTTAAAAAACCTTTAATAATAAATATATTCCCTTCCTATAAAATAAAAACCTTAAATATATTAAATTAATTTATTATTTAATTTTTAAAAAGTTAATTTATTTAAAAGGGTTCTTTTTAAAAATAGAAGTTAATAAATTACCCTTATTATAATTAGGATATAATATAGTTTTTAAAACTATTATTAATAACCCTTTAAATAGCTTCCCTTAATATTAAACTTTAATTTAATACCTATTATTAAAAAAAGAAGTAATAGATAAATTATTAACTTATAGCTTTATTAAACCTTATATAAAAATAAATGCTTCCCTTATTCTTTTTACCTTTAAATTAAATTTAATTAAAAAATAGTTTTATATTAATTATTAATAAAAAAATAAATACCTAAAGGATTATATTATTTTAACATTAAATTTAAATAGTATTATATATAATAGCTAAAGGGTTAAATATTATATTAAGTTTAATATTATTAAAGCTTTTTATAAATTAAAAATAGCTTTAAAATTTTAATATTTAATAATATTCCGGATTTAATAAAGGGTATCTTAATAGTTAATTTTACCTTTTAAATTAAAAATTAACCCTATTTAATAGTAAAACTTTATTAATTTTTAATTATATAAATTATTTAATCTCTTTATTAATATTTATATTAATAATATTTTAATATTTATAAATAATAAAAAAGAGCATTAGGAATAATATAAAAAGGTAATATATTACTTTTATAATATTAAATTTTAAGGAAATATAAAAAAATCCTTCTTTAATATAACTTTTATAAATTATTTAAATATAATCCTAAAGGCTAAATAGGGTATTTAAATTAACTTTAAAAAGATAAATGCTATTATTAATTGGAAATTTAAAGACTTAATTAACATTTAAACTATTTGTTTATTTTTAAAGCTATATAACTTTATTTAAATATTTATATATTATATTAATAATATAATTAAACCTTTAAATTATTTATTTAAAAACGGTATATTATTTAAAATAGGTAATAAATAATAAAAAGCTTTTAAATTAATAAAAAAGCTAGCTTATAAAGTATTAATATTAGCCTTCTTTTAATTTAATTAACCTATTAGAATTAAAATTAATACCTTCCGGAATATTATTAATAAAATTATTTAATAATAATAAAAAAATAACATTTAAAAGCTTATAGGATACTTTTTAAAAACTATATTATTAATTAAATAAGCTTATTTAATATAAAATAAGGAATTATTAACTATAATTTAAACTATAAAGTATAATTATTTAAAATTATTAAATATAAAGTTCTTTATAATAATTAACTATTAAGCTTTATTATATTTTATTATTAAAAGAGTTCTTTTTATAAAATAAATAAAATAG